ATAGATGCCCTGTAGTGTGGGGCTGAACCACAACTTATACCCCGGCACATCCACGACTACAACCGCAGGTTCTCAGGCCAACCGAGATCTGTGAGTTTACTGCTGCACATGTCATACAGTAGATAAAGGAACGTGTCAATTATGATTAACACTAAGGCCCTTGAGAAATTTGCCAAAGAAAATGGACCATGACGTTAAAAAACAATGCTGTAATTGTGGACTCTTCACTTATTCCTGTGCTCTGACTCCTCAGCTTATAGACCGGCTGCGAGATGTTCCCACGCTGCTTCGCCATCTCTTCAGAGAGATGTTCTCCGTGGGTGGCCTCTTCTGGATGTTCAGGATTCGAATTCTCCTCTGCCTGGTTGGTGCCATCACCTACCTGGCTTCTCCACTCGACATCCTCCCAGAGGCTCTCTTCGGCCTCCTGGGATTCTTGGATGATTTCTTTGTGATCCTGCTCCTCTTTGTCTACATCTCCATCATGTACAGAGAGGTGGTGACACAGAGGCTGAACAACTAGATAATCACTGGAATAAGAACATGACTTTTTGTTCTGTCAGGCTTTGGGTTAGGGAAACATTTTCTTTTTAAGTTCTCAAAGGGATTTATGTTAAAACCTGGCACGTTAATCAGTGCAAATGCCATAAAGACTGAGCTTTGAATGTTCTCCTGTGTGTGTATATACATACCTTGGTTCAGTGATTTGAGGGTTATTTAAAGGAGTTTTCAAACGTTTTTGCAGCGCTCCCTTTGGTAGATAAGTTGATATATTGTTAAACTCATTCATTTACTATTTACATTTGTTCAGTAATTTAACAAAGAATAATTACTGCAAATTCCCGGAAGTGACACAAATATAGTGAAAATAAAATAAATTTTCCTGCAATAGCTTCGCAGTAGTCCCCCCACTTTGGGGACTACTGCTTTTAAAAGCTTACATGGCCTACACTGGCTAACAATTATACCTGTAAAAAAGAACTTCACACTTTTTCCAAAGTTACTATCCTCTTCATTGTACATGCCAGGGTGAGCCATCAGTTTGTTCTGTGGTTGAAAATAGCCATAAAATGGTTCAAGAGTTTGTTTTTTCTCATTTGTTTCAGTCTGTTATTTTTCTGGGTCTTGAAATAAATTTGGAATCATGTTTATATGCTTTAAACTCCTCACTAATTTAATGGGTATGAAGAGTATTTAAATGGTAAAATGTGCTGAGTGCAGCTTGAGCAGGCAGTTGAAATTCAAGAACTGTATTTTTGCATTTGAACTGTTGATTATACATAGTCGTGACATTAAAATACTTCTGACTCTGTGAAATACTCAGTTATGGTTCTGATGACATTCTATCACATTTAATGATATTTGTATAATTATGAACTGACAGGCACAAAACACATAATCTTGTCCTGTCTCAAATGATCCACGATATGAGAGAAATTATAATGTTGGTTTAGATCTGTTGAAGTGAAAAAATCTTTTAATGAACTGATTTGTCATACTTCCTAGAACAGATGTGATGGAGGCAGCATTTTGATTTGCATTTCTGTAGAGCTTTCTGTGACCCATGAAATCAGAGTGCTGTGTCTATGTGGGGTCCTGACCCCCAGGTTGAAAATAGAGACTTGAAAACGTTTTTATTTAGCACGTGAGATTTCTCTCTCTTGGTCATATCATCAGTCAGCCCTAATGAGGGTAAAAGAGAGTTTTTGGATAACATTCACTCAGTTTATTAAAGAGTGAATTGTGAGATCACTCTTACATTGTCAGATTAAGGTCCTGCTTCTCTTGCCTTTTCTTCTTGGTGTTGACTGGAACCCCACCCTTTAGTTTCAGTAGGGTAAGCTGAAAATAGTACACGCAGCTCGTCTTATAAATACTACACTTTAGAACCTAAAAACCAGTCTGGTGAGAATCTTACCCTGGTGATGATGTCTAACTGGGTAAGACCTCTGGAATTTCAGATGACATCTCATGACTTGGTCTTCAATAGTATGCAGCACTCAGTTTTGAAAGTCACCATATCCTAAGTTGATTTCATACACTCTCCTCAAATCTTGTTGTGATTCAGACTTCAATATCTCAGCCTTTCTGAAGGAAGTGAGTCAGCTGTGCACTTTTGTAAAGTTGGCACTGACACTGTTCAATACTATTCGTGAACATAATGGATCCACACAGCATGTAAGTCTGAATGTTGTACCAGCTCATATACTAGCCTTATATTTTACATGTGGTCTTCCAAACTGGTTTCATCCAAGATGAATCTGATTGCTTTATTTTCTATAAACAAGATGGGAGGGGTGTATAACACAAAGAACATAATCCCCATTCTGGAAATGAGTAATGGCATATATGATGCTGATGCTGGGATCACTCGGTGCATTTATTTTAGTTATATAATGCCACAATATCTACAAACACATCTTCAGTAGAGATGGGAATCTTGCTATTTACAAATAACACTAGATTGTATAACAGTCAGAAACCATAATTCTGTGGGGAAAAACACTTTAAAAATTAACGACTGAATTGTAAGTTAATGAGACTCATTTTGTTTTTGAGAAAAAAAATTCCAAATATTTAAAAATAACCCATATCTATCAAGGAAAGTTTTTTCCTCGCAATAATAGGAACTTTCCTTTAACTTGACCGAAAACTCCGCCCACCCTTCCTCTCTCGGGGAGAAGCCGGGGTAGCGAAGCAGCGAGTTGGCCCAAAGACAGCGAAAAGGCTGTGGAGTGTATGAAGCCCGCTGCTAACTTCAGGCTCGCTTCGCCCGAATAAAGTCGCTTTTCGTGTCGTAACCATGAGTACATCAGAGACGCTGGATCGAATGGAACTCTGTGAAAGCCTACTGACATGGGTGAGTGATGGTATATGAAGTTTTAAAAGCTTTATTTACATTGACAGGCAGACCACTGGCACCGGCTATGCTAATGTACTGCTGGCTGATGTTAGCCTGCTGAGCTAACGGAGCAGAGTGGAAGTCTGTGGTTACGTATACAGGCCAGCTGTTCCCTGCCTTAGCTGCCGCTGATGTGGTCTCCGTTAGCCGCCTGCCTACACAATTTAGCATAATCTAGCCATATGTAACCCGACATCTAGCTATCTCAACATCTCTCTTCGCACAATGAAACGGGATAATCAAATGACACAAACGTTGATCTCTTTTGTTGCCAATTTGCTGTTTTTACCTCACTGTACACCGCTACCCTGCTGTGTCTGCTCTAAGTCTGGAATGCTGTCATTGTTGTCCAGTGTATCATTTCGTACTCCCTTCCTTTCTACAATCTCTAGTTTCATCAGAAATGACAAGTGTGCTGTGGGGTTATATTTACCGTAAACATTTCTAGTCGGAGGTGGAAACAGTACGTCAAGAGGGAAAACGAGGGGATGGAACCGGAATGTCATGTGTTACCTCACGGTTATTGTTTACATCATTGGAATGCAGCTCAGATTTTATTTATACACGTTCGTGCTAAAGTATCCATGTATATGAACTCGAATATTTGACTTAAAGCAGAGGATATTGCTTTTTTATATATATTGTTAAACGTTCACAATGCAAATCATTCACATATTATCAGCTCAATTTCACTGTCTAACGCCATAAACAGAAACCTCTGGACTGACTGAAACCATATGTTAATGTTTGCATTAACCGAAATTTGTCAGTTTTGGTTTCAAAATATGCACGTGGCGTTTGTTTACCTCAGACTATAAAGACAGTAATCTACTAAACAACAACAACATAAGCTAATTTAGAAATGTCAAAACAGCCCCTTTAATGAGCCTTGGTAATTGTTCAGTATTAATCGTCATACTCTTAGTTGATGCAGATTGCAAGTGGAATTTGTATACATATGATTTTATATTTATACTTTGTTAAAAAAGTTTACCATCTCAGTCAAAGGCCTTTATTTATACGTTTACCATCTCAGTCAAAGGCCTTTATATGATTTTCATATTCATGATGCACTATACATTCAGGCCAACCACTCATACGAAGCCAAGCTTTTTTTGCCAGCAAATGTTCCTGGAAAAAGCAACTATCTTGATGTCAACACATCCAAACAAAAATACTTAATTCAGTCATGCACTATTAACATCTATTTACAATGTCAAGATTACAAAGAAATGTGACAATTGCTTCTAAAGTCAATATTACCAAAACTTTGTTTCTACTGTACACATCTGAAATGTCAGTGTTGGTGGGAAAACATGGATACTGTTTGTTCGCAAAAGTTCAACACCAAGAATCTACTTTCATGTCAAGTTGTCGGCAGGCAGTGAAAGTGACACATGAGGAACACAGCAATGGCATTATACAATCATAATAATCAAAATCCCAAAACTCCCAAACTCAAAAACATTAACATTAAATAGTAAGAAACAAAAATGAAAGACGTTTTTTTATTTGGCAGCTCTGTTGTGTAAGTAATTACTTGACAAAGCAGTGTTTAGCCACCGTGGTGTTCATCTGACATGTACCTTCCATCAGTCAGCATTTGTTTTTTGACACACCACTGTCACCACGTTCTCTTGTTGTAGTTTCTCTGGTGCGTTCACCTCCTCATGACGTTTTTTTTCTCTGTGTTTTTCCTGGTGTGGCTGGGAAACATTCCTCACATATCTGTTGAATATGAAGTCACATACGTGTCTGTGTAAATTAGTTTAGAGAATAATGGCTGTACACAGTAGTTGGGCTGTACTTTAAAGTAAGCAGAGAATGGGATATTTTCACAAGTTGTTGTCATTGTAATGGAAGAGCTGTGTATTTTGTTTTTTAATGCTGTTTAAATGTACAGTATGTTCCAGGGACAGAACATTTGAAAAGTTTAGTTAGTATTCCAGCACTGAAGGCACTTGTCCTGTAACTGAAAGCTACTGCCAGATATATATTAACTGGATGTAAATTATAAATAGTCTATAACTAGTTAGCCTCATGCTGTCTGTTTTAAAACGTTTTTAATGTGGTGATTATTTTGTAACCATCTTGGCCGTGACCCTTGCAAAAAAGAGTCTAAAATTTAATGGGATTATTCTGTTTAAAATAAAAACGTCAGTGGTGAATTGTAGTGACCTATTGTGTTTGTTTTATCATTGGACAGATTGCCCTTTGATGCAGCTTCTTTTTGATTGGCCTGATTTAATCTAGCAAAACAATGGAGCATTTAGCAAAAGTAAACTAGATCGTTAAAATGCCCCCTCACCCCCCACCTGGAATTATCTTTTTTTTTATATCAACTAGTTTTGATTGGTGATTTCTTTTGTTTTTTTAATAAACAAAACGGAACACATGATTTCAACTGACATGGAAGACATTGCTGAGTTCCCTTGAATGTATTTGTCAGCGACTCAAGGTTCAGTAATCTACTGAAAAGGCAAATAATAAGTGCAATTAGTTTGGCAATTTAATGAATACAAGGCTTGACGGATGGCATGACATGGTTATTTGTTTGCATGGGGACGGGGGGTGGCTATTGACCTCCAGCTGTGGAACATTGTAGAAGGTCAGTATAATAGTTCAGAGCTTTTTCACTGTCCACTGGTACCAAACACAATGTCCCAACATCACAAAGCCTCCCACCTGTAGCGGTGTTCTCATGGACTCTTTAGGGGACGTCATATGAACTCACATGTTCTCTTTAAAGGTTTTGTACAGCACTGGTATGTGTGCTATTGATGAAATTACCATTCAAAGAAGTGAAACCTGTGGCTCATGACAATCTATTGAATCATGTGGAGAGTATTTAGGCATCCTGAAATGACCATCGTACTGCAACTATGGTATAAAACGGGTCGGAAACCTATGGCTCGTGAGCCAGATGTGTGTTTTTTGATGACTGCATCTGACTCTCAGAGCTAAATTAGATATTCAAGTAAAACATTACAGAAATCAAAATAATCTTTGAAAAAAATTCTTGTGCTGCGTATAGTACGCAGCACAAGAATTTGCGTTGTGTTAAATAATTGCGGTAAAATCAGCAAAAATCAGTACGTCATGTTTTATTTCAACACACACACACATATATATAAGTACAGTTAATGATAAAATTTAAATTAAAATAATAAAATACCATAAGGTCAGCAGAGCCGACTACTGCTCCCCGGGGTGCACGACCCGAATCCACAGGGGTGTTGCATTTAATGACCATACGATAAATAAAGATTCTTCTTAAGTTGTGTGTAATAAACAGTTTTGTATCGCAAGTGGAACCATATATTTACATATATGTATATACTGTGTATATTCCATGTTTCTCATGGAAATACATTTTAAAATATGTGCCTGTTTTGGCTCTCTCTGCTATAAAGGTTTCCGACCCCTGGTATAAAATGTATGGGACATACTATCATACTCTTATTTTCTTAATAATGTTTGATTATTTTCCTTGAAACTCTAGCTGTGATAGAGTGCCTTTGTTTGGTTTAGGCCTGTGTTAGTCGTCCATATTTTTGTGATGGGCCGGTTCATCCTGTGTGTCCCGTTTCCTCCACAACATTTTCCGCAAAAGCAAACCTTTCAGATCAAACATCTCTGTGTTGTGGACAGTTCTCTCCCTGTTCCCACCAGAGACCGGATGCTAATGTTTCCAGCTCTTTTTGTTTTTTATTTGGCCCTATTTTCTTCTTTTATTTTCTGTAAATCTACTTGATGTTAAAATACAGGATGCTCACCAAGGAACTCCGTGTGTACTGTTATTATCTGAAGTTAGTGAATCACAACCCAACCTGCACTAACACTGCTGCAGAGGGCTTCTTTAAACAAACTGTAGAATTATGGATTTAAAATGAGGACTTTCATCTTCTCACTGCTTTCAACCACATGACTGTTGGTTAGATGGATTGGAGGAAAATTAATACATTTGTTGTGCAATAATATTTGGCTAGACTGGAGTTGATAGGTTCCTAAATAATTATATAGGTGTATTGAAAGAATCCTCCAGCAGTCTAGAATATATTCTGGATTTACTGTTTGTGTTTGAGCATTTCAATCCCACATCTTTTTCTGAAGGGGGAAGTTAAACTATTAACTATTCTAGGTTGACACAACAGCTACTGTATTTACTGTTTGTTTTGTTTACATATTTGAAGTATTCTGTAAACCTCATTTGTCCTTTGTGGACTCTAAAAGTATTCTAAATTTGTATTTCAAATTGATTTTCATGCTAATGATAATCCACTGATGTGTAATGAATTACAATGGTTTAAGTTGCTCTCAGGGTTAATAAACAGCTTCTCTGTCTCAGATCGACTCTCTTCCATTTCTGTCAAAACTATTAAAAACCTCGGTGCTGGTCAGTGGTTGGAGGAGCTGTTCTGCTCGCATCATGTTTATTTTGAGAAACTGTACTGCCTGTTTATCCATTACCTTGTGTTTGAAATGCAGTTGCTGATTGGTCTGTTTTTGTTGTACTTTTCACTGGTTACTGTTTGTAGGTGATGGTCTTACATTGGAACACTTAAAAAAATAGGCAAAGTTTATAGGTTACTAATCTACTTCCTGTCTAATCGTAACATTCCTTCTGTCAGTTTCTGCTCCCCCTCTTGGTAGGTGGACAGCTGCCACATACTGTACACTCAGCTATAGTCCTTTCTGGTTAAGGAAGTATCTGTTAGCTAAAAGCAGGGGTCACCAACTATATTTGTCAGAGGGCCAGAATATTTCTGGACAGACATCTTGGGGACCGTTACTGAAATAAAATCAGATTTCGGCCCGTGGGCTACCAGTTGATAATCACTGGCCTAAGGTATATTTGTCTGGTAAAGGGAAATCACGTTGAAAAGGTTCTGTGCTGTCCACATTGAAGACTTCAAATGAATCACCTCTTTGTTTTCTTCTTCACTCCGTCTGTTTACTGTTTAGATCCAGACATTTGGTGTGGAGGCTCCATGCAAAACAGTCGATGACCTGACCAGTGGCATCGTCATGGCCCAAGTACTGCAGAAAATGTAAGATCCCATCCTGGAATATGAAGAAATGTGTCAGTTAGCAGACAATTCTCTGTTGGTGTTTTTTGGAATAATTGAATTTCATTATTTGAGGAACTCTGTTGAGCAGAAATGTTTCACTAACATTACTACATTGAGGATGTTTTTTCCTAACCTTATTTTTGACTGTCATTTTATTTTTGTAGAGATATAGTGTACTTCAGTGACACTTGGATTAGCAGAATCAAACCAGAAGTGGGGGACAACTGGAGATTAAAGGTAAGATCCTAAACTAACTAGGATTAACTGCATGTTTGTCTTTTCTTGGTGGAATTGTGGAGAGACTTAGGATTGGTTTTCTAACGTTTAATCGTTCGACCATTTCTCCTTATATTCAGTTCAGTAGTTCTCAACCCTTATTGCTTTGTGACCCCCTTTGTAACATTACAAGTTTCCCAGAGATAATTTAGAGATGTTTTGTATGATGTAGTTTTTTTTTTAATCAATTAATAAATATTTCAGATGACCACAGTTGAATTCCAGGTGACCCCATGTGGGGTCGCGACCCCATAGGTTATAAATCATTGTTTTAGTTCAATAATCTCAAACATTAGTTGCATATTAAACTGTTATTAAACATAACAGTCATAATAATATTAGCATTGTATGCTTTGGTCATGTTTTAGAATTCAATAAAGTAAAATAATATAACCTGTATGTTATTAATATTGATTTCAATATTTGATATTTGTCTTTTCTCAGATCAGCAATTTAAAGAAGATCCTGAAAGGAATCTTAGACTACAACCAGGAGGTAAAAAAAAACTTTTTTCATTCACTCCTATGTTGGGATGTTGTTAAACATGAGGTATTCTGTACCTGTTCAGATCTTAGGTCAGCACATAAATGACTTCACACTACCAGACGTCAACCTTATTGGAGAACACTCCGACGCAGCGGAACTAGGAAGGATGCTCCAATTAATACTGGGCTGTGCAGTCAACTGTGAACAAAAACAAGGTATGCTGCCCATACTGTGTTACATCTGTCTCACAGCGGACATAGAGTTCACTCTGAGACTTCTGATTTGTTTCTCCCTCTCATTCTCTAGAATACATCCAGACCATCATGATGATGGAGGAGTCGGGTCAGCATGTTGTCATGACAGCCATCCAAGAGGTGAAGTATCAGTTCATTTTAAATGGATATATTAATTACATTCATATCATGACCTTTCACCTAGATTAGCTGTTTTTGCAAAGGTGACATGTAATTTTAATGTGTTTCCACAGCTGATGAGTAAAGAGACGCCAGTGACTGGTGGGAATGATTCATATGTAGATCTAGACAGACAGGTATGGAGTTTTCACCTCACAACAAACCACTACATTACATAGATCTATATGTTGATTTATGTATAAATATATGTATATGTGTCTATGTATGTGCATGTAAATATGGATATGTATTTATACGGTGTAGGTATATATGTATATTAAGGCTGTGTATTGTTGTTGTTATTTCTTTCTGTTTGCAGCTGAAAAAAACTGTAGAGGAGTTGAACGATGCTCTGTCTAACAAGGAGGAGATCGCACAGAGGTGTCGAGAGCTGGACATGCAGGTTAGTTTTCGCATTGGGTTTCTTTGTCCCTTTTTTCTTTTTACTGCTCTTAAATGCCTAACAATAGGATCAACACAACACGCAGCTGTTCTGTAACGTGCCCTAATGGCCCTTACTGACCTACTGACCCCAACATTACAGTTGATTACATATCAACTGTGTAAATAATAAATCATCAAGAGAGATAATTTAACACATGTTACATGTCCTTAATTGAATGTCCTCCATTATAACACTGTTAATTACGTAGTTACTACATGATTACATGTATTGGTCAATCGTGATTAACGATTCCGTAATTATTTTTTCTACTACTGACACTCCCTCAGTGAATTAACTAGCTGTCGTTTAAATTAGTCACGTTCTCTTCATCTGAAAGAAAGCCGTTTCTTTTGCCTTTTTCTGACTGACTTAATGATGTGTGCCTTGCTTTAAAGGCCCTCCATGTCCAAGAGGAGCGTGATAGACTGAGGTTAGAGTTAAATGAGCTAGAAGAGAGGGTAAATCCAATCTTTATTCTTTCCCGTCTCCTCCTTCCATTCATGCTGTGTGCCTTGTCAAAAAAAAAAAGTCCTGGATACTGTCATTGGTTCTTCTGCACCGGCGTCCTTTTGTGAATCAGAGTTGTTAACATTCTCCTAAAATATTGAGTGCATGCGTGTGTACACGTTTATGCACAGGTGTGTGTTTTTGTGTGTGGACATCTAGCTCCCTCAACACACACAAGCCTTGTGTGTGGTTGTGTTAGATGTCATACCTTCAGTATTGATCTCCTGTCTGTTACCTTCCTGAGTTTCATGACTTCCCAAAAAGTATAAAAACAGACTACTAGACATTCTATATTCTATACAGTATATCTTACTGTGCTGTCAGTCATACTGTATATGAACCCCGTTAACATAAAAGTAGCTATACATCCTAGCAAAGCCAGATCCTGGCCACGTACAGTAGGTGGTTGCTGGGGGCGCCATCTGCAGGAGGGGGTGATATGCTGCAGTTAGACAGCTCTTACATGATTCTGTTTTACTGTTGCATAACAGTGATACTAGTATTACAATAACAAAGCTCTCACTGTTAACCAGTGTTGCTCAAAATGTAGGGCCTTGGACGCCATCTGCAGGAGGGGTAAGGAGGGGATAGTGTTCTGAGGCGAGGCATTTTTTTTGTTTTCCTGTCGCATAACAGTGGAACTAGCATTCTAATAACAAAGCTCTAACTGTGAACCAGTGGTGTCCAAAGTGCAGGGCGGACCCTATTTAGGGGTCACAAACCTATTAAGGGTGGCGCAGCAAGCAATCGGAATGGATTGCATTTCGATTTCAATATTATCTGTAATGAGAACAATGGTTTTTGTTTTATCTACTGAACCATACGCACCTCTAGAACCCTCATAAAAATGTGTATGTTCTTCAACCTTTGTTATCCATGTAACACACGTTGAATAGAGGAACAGACTGGCTGTGTCACGACTGCCCTCTGCGTCAGAACATAAAAAATCAGATCTTTTTCACTTACTCCATTACAGCTGTTATGTAAGCTATGCCTCACTCATACCAGTCTGAGTTCATACAGAGTTGACTGGCCCAGAGAAGCTTATTACTACGAGTTCCCATTCTCAGTACTTCAGATAAGATTAGCTGGTACAGTGTATCAAACTAAAACCAAGTATTTGAAAAAACAAAACAACCATGTGTCAGTGATGACCAGCAGCCACTGCTATGTTTTGTGTGAAGCTCGATTCCCTGTCTATCACAGTGAGAAGACAGCACTGAACCCTGTTTGCTCTGCTGGTGTGTGTGCTGTGTCCCCGCCCTTCTTACTCAGGTTGATGCTGCTCTGATAGATGACTGTAACAGAAAATGTTACCTGTGCATTCAGGAAAATTAAAAGATGCAAGATGAACATTTTGGAACAACACTAACATGTCGCTTCTTTCTGCTTCTCTTTCTATCATTTCACAAAACATTTCTATCCTTTTGTCATCACACCCTCCCCCCAATCACACCTCTCCTTTGTTCAATCCCTCGTGTAAAATTTTAAATCTTTCTCTACATTTAAACCTGTCCTTTTTGCCATTACTACCACTTTATTTTCCTACTTTTTTCTGTTCTATTTTTTCCTTCCTCTCACACTTTATACCTACAGGTGGCAGCGCTGCAGGAGGAGAAGAGCAGTCTGCTCGCAGAGAACCAGGTCCTGATGGAGAGACTGAACCAGTCGGACTCCATTGAGGACATAAACAGCCCAGCTGGACGCAGACACCTCCAGCTGCAGGCACAGCTGGAGCAGCTGCAGGAAGAAACCTTCAGGTCCCACCCTGCTCCCCCCATGTGCTGATTCACTGGTGTTTAAATCAGATTTACATTTTCTAACACATTTGCATTCATTTTAGGTTGGAGGCAGCGAAGGACGACTATCGGATCCGTTGTGAGGAGCTGGAAAAGGAGCTTATAGACGTGAAGTCGCAGAATGAAGAGCTTACGTCACTGGCAGATGAGGCCCAGTCCCTCAAAGATGAGATGGATGTCCTAAGGTGAGTAGGGATGAAAAACTTTGGTCTTTACACATGATGACATTGTCAGATTAAAGATCACCAAACTAACCTCATAAAAAGAGTAGTTTCATGGTTTATTAATCAGTAATCTGGTGAATCTGGTGGACTGGTGTCTGGGACTGGTTTAAATGAAAGTGTTTGTTGAAAACTGCCTTAATTCCAGGCTGGTGCTGCAAAAAGTGAATTTATTTAACACATGAGATCCAGTTTTATTTAATTAACAAAACTGATGAGAAGTCTGAGGCACATGCTAATAAGATTGGTTCACAGAAAATCACAGAAAAGAAGTGGAAGAAGTGACTTTATTAAGTATTATATATTACTTTATTATAAGTCTTTCACACCAGGGGCCACATCAGCAATACAGTTGTCCTTGAAGGGTGTTGTCAATGGAAAACTCTATAGATGTAACTAAAGGTAGGTGATGTATAGAATATACTCGATGTCTCTCGGCTTGTCCCCTCTGGGATATGTAACACAACATATTGTGAATATTTTCAGTGTGCATTCATTGCATACATTGAAGTACAAGTTTTTCCTCACTTGTTCTCATCTCTGCGTACAGAGAGATAAAACAAGCGCACCCAGTTACGTATACCTCCCCATGGTGTAATGTCTGCAGTAACTTACCACATCGCGAAAGACATGTCCTCAGTGAATGTGGTTGGAAAGCCCGTATTCAGAAGGCTCATCAACACACTTCACCCAAGTTATATACCATATATATATATATATTTGTTTTATAATTTTCACTATTTGATTTCCTTTTATGAAGGTTTTAATTTTAATTTAACTATGTCTGTGTGACATCCTGCACAAAGGTGCATGTGTTTCTTTTAAAATAGTGTCAAAATGTGCTCTTGAGTAGTGACATCATGTAAAAAAAAAAACTCTTTATTTGTTGTGAAATGTTTGTGCCACTACTTAATAACTCTTCAATATATACAGTTTTGATACATTTGTTTAGTTGTGATTTTACCCTTTTGGCATGAATGTTTAAAACCACCATATATTAATGCAGTATGAAGAAAAATATTTTAATGTAGACCCATAGAATTTTCATACTGGCATGATTATTTATTATTAATTCAAATTACAAATATTGTACATTGTATTAAAAATATATTTTTTAAATTCACCAGGTTAAGAAAATCACATTCAAATCAAACTTTTCAAATAAATGACCAAAAATAAACAAACGCAGATGTCTCAGTTCAGAACTTTAGCAGTCAGGTCTTGGGTATCATGAAATGCATTATTAATTGAATTAGTTTTATGCTCCTGTAGGCCACAAAAAATGACTTGGCGGACCACATTTGACCCGCTGGCCTTGGGTTTGACATGTGCTTTAGATGTGTTGCTGAGGAAACGGGCTTAGAAAGCGTTCTCTCTAGTCCACATGATTAGCTGGTTGGTTTGTCTCCTAGGCATTCATCAGACAAAGTGTCCAAACTAGAGGGCACTGTGGAGCACTACAAGAAGAAACTGGAAGATATGGGACTTCTCAGGAGACAGGTACCCATAACGACTGTCACTTTTTGGCCATGATAAGAAAATTCCAAGCTCATATTCTTGACCCTTCTGCAGAATAAGCTGATGGAGGAGAAGAACACAGTGTTGATGCAGACCAACGTCAGCTTAGAAGAAGAGCTGCGAAAAGCTAACGCTACCAAGGGTCAGCTGGAAACGTACAAGAGACAGGTGGGCAAACACACACAACCCTATGTGTTGCGTGTGTGTGTGTGTGTGTGCATATACTCCACGTGTGTGAGGAGAAGGGGGTCTTCACTTGCACTGTTGTCTCATTACACAGGTGGTGGAACTTCAGAACAGACTCTCAGAAGAGTCAAAGAAGGCCGACAAGATGGAGTTTGAGTACAAACGCATGAAGGAGAAGGTAGACTCTCTACAGAAAGAAAAAGACGTAAGAGTTTTTGCCTTTTAAAATATTATTGAATTTTTTTCTAGACTCAGTATCTCAGGGTTTGTGGATTATGAATGCTTATGAATTGGCTGAGACACTGTATGTTTCATCATCACTGGACGACACGTTGTCACATCTCTCTGCAGCGTATGAGGACGGAGAGAGACTCCCTGAAGGAGACCATCGAGGAGCTCCACTGTGTCCAGGCTCAGGAAGGACAGCTCACGTCAAGTAAGAGAACGTCAAAGCGGCTTCACTGAACCGTTTGTTCCCAAACCCTGGTTTCTGGGCAGAGTTTAAACCTGCAATCTATTTTTCTCAGGTCTCTTTCCATTGGTCAGCAACAATGGATCAGATTCACTGGCTGCTGAAATCACCACCCCCGAGATGAGGTAGTTATGGGACTATTTTATTTTAATCGCCTTGATATCAAAGTGGTAACAAATGAATTTCTGTCCTCTGATTTGCATCTGCTGATGTCACTGTTGGATAGGGTTATTTACTTCTAAGCTCTACTCGGGTTTCAGACCAGTTCCTCTTGTCATAAAAAAGTGCAGTGTCTGTAGTGAGTTATGCAATATCTGTGTGTGAGTTACATCAGCCTGACTTCTGCTGCTGCTGCTGCTGCTGCTCCCTGTCAGCACCAGGTTCTTACCACCGTCAGCATTGAGTGCCTGGATTTGATTTTGGCAAACATGCGAAATCTTAGATTTCCATCAATATCCGTACTTTAGCAGAGCTGCATATGAAAGAAAGACATGTTTGAAGAAATGAGTGAAATCTAAACCACAGGCTCTTGTGTTTGTGCTGATGCCATTTCCTCTCAAATCAAAAGTGTTGCAATAGTATGATATCAGGGTGAGGTACAGAATTGTTTGTTGGTTAACGTGTGTGTGAGACACATTTGTGTATGTGAATTTTCAGTGTCCAGTGGATCTAAAGAGTCTCATGGGGGTGTGGGGCTCTTAGCCAGCATCTGGAAATGATTTTGCCACTGTAACTAAATTGAACCTAGACTGAGGAAAGGAGTCTGACTCACAGATGTTCGGTGTTAGCTGCAGGGTCAGAATTTGAATTAGCAACAATGCTAACATAGCTCCCTTTCTTCCAGAGCTCAACCTTTGTTAGCCAAGAGCACTTTTGTTTTGTTTGTTTATTATTTATATATATTATAAATATATATAATATCTATATAATATCTATATTATATATATAAGATATATATATAATATATATAATTTTTTTTTGTTTTTGTGAGATGAATATTTTCAAGACAGTTAGTCATAGCTACGCAGTAGGATACCATATCATCAGTAAGCATTCGTCGTCCTCCACTAACATGACTTTATCTCTGGAAAAGTCTGGAGAAGTGAATCACATCCGGTGTTATCGAAACATCAAAGTACTTTCTGCAGCACAGCAGTTGTGTTTGCATAAAAGAGTTCATTATATTAGCCAAGTGCTAAAGCTGAGATGAGGTCCGATGCTGCCATCATTGACTCAAACTTCATTTGTATGTTGATAGAAATAGTATTTTATGAACGACACGCAGGGAGTTGATGATATGTGATGTACTCCATGTACTCGGTAAGGTTGAAGTTTGTAGTTGTATTTACTCAGGTTTTGCATTTATTTTTTATTTGTTTTACAGAGAACATTTGATTCGTCTCCAGCACGAGAACAAGATGCTGAAACTGGCCCAGGAGGGCTCAGACAACGAGAAGATAGCTCTGCTGCAGAGTCTTCTGGAGGACGCCAACAGAAGGAAGAATGAACTGGAAACTGAAAACAGGTCAGCGAATTAGCTTAGCGTTAGTGTGGGACTAAAAAGACTAAAATAGATGGCTGTTTCAAAAGTGTTGAAATAAATTAATTTTTGTTTTTCTTCCACTTTACTGTCATGATCAGTCGCCATCTATTTCACCACCCCAGTGGTTTTCTCTGGTTATACTGCAGTCCTACTTGCACCGCTGCTGACACTGCTCTTTTTCTGCACTTAATTAAGATTAATCAATCAGCGCTTGATGGAGGAACAGAGTCAGATAGAAGAGCTGCAGAAGAGTCTTCAAGAACAGGGCTCGAAAGCTGATGACGTACGTTCTAACACGGTTACTTTTAATTCTGTTTAACAGTACTTGTGCTGCAGAATATAAATGTGTTGTAATACAATTGGTACTTTCTGTATAGATGATGGGTGGGTAAACTTGGTTGCTTACAGGCCAGAATAATGCTCAACATTTAAATGGCAGCTGGTTCAGTTTTGATTGTATCTAAAATGTTTGGGTGAAATATTATAAATAAAACAAGTTTACAAGCTTAATCCTAAACCTTCAGAGAAAATTTGGCATATTTGATGTTTGCCCCCATCTAGTAGTATTAACTAAAATTACAATCAATTCATTGCAATGCATGAAAAGGAAAGGAGTTAAATCAGTCCTTTTACTATACTATGTAGCTGTGTTTGGCAGCCGGATGAAAAAGTCCAAGCTCAATGACTAAAATCATCAGTTTTTTGTATATGAGTTTATTTTTTTTCCGTAGTACTAGTAGAATGCTAAATCTTTTTTTTTTTAATTTAACATTCCCTTCATTCAATATAAACAAGTTTTAATATTTGTTTTACCTTTTTTTATTGTTTTTATGTTTTCTGATAATGATTATTTTGAAGTTTCACAAATGTTTTTTTGATTTGGTTTCCTTTTTTCCTTTTTCTTTTTAATCTTTATTAGAATTCCAGTCTGAAGAAGAAATACGAGGAGCACATGTGAGTAACTTTCTTAAAGACTGTAATGTATTAAGTCGGTGGTTCTCAAAATAGGTTGAAAGAAGGTATGAATTACTGGGAATGTGTCAACATAGGAGTGCTTGACAATAAACGTATCTACCAGTAGGTGGCGCTACAGAAACATTTGGGAACCACTGCATTTACTGTATTTGAATTTCTTTTCAATTTAAGCCCTGGTTAAACTTAAAGCAATGTGTTCTTTATTCTCAGTGAGAAAGTGCGAGAGTTGAACAATGAGTTACTGAAGAAAAACACGCTCCTCGATGAAATGGAGCCTAAATACAACACCAGCAGTGAGTTCACAGACGTCTCTAATCATATCGGTTGTGGGTACAAAATAGGCACAAATTTATTTTCTCTCCTTCAGTCCAACGGGTGGAGGAGTTGGAAGACGCCTTAAAGAAGAAAGACGACGACATGAAACAAATGGAGGAGAGATACAAGAAGTACTTGGAAAAGGCCAAGAGTGTGAGTATATTTTTCAAACTGCTGACAAAGGGGAAAATTTTTTTAAAAAACCTTGGACGGTGATTGATTTGACATAAATTTTTTAAAAAAACCTTGGACGGTGATTGATTTGAATAATTTTCCTCCAGGTGATTCGGACCCTGGATCCCAAGCAGAACCAGGGTTCAGGTCCTGAAGTACAGGCCTTGAAAAACCAGCTGCAGGAGAAGGAAAGAATGTTGCACACATTGGAGGTATTCATTTTATCACCTCAGTTGTATTACAGAACTGTAGATCTTTTAGACGGTTTAGTTTTATTTATGTTTTCTCCTCAAACAGAAAGAAATGGACAAGACCAAGACCCAGAGGGACTATGAGGAGAAACTAATCGTGTCAGCTTGGTACAATATGGTGAGAAGGATTTTACATCCCGTACAAGACAATTGTTTTGGATGTGGCTGATACTCAAAGTTACCACTAGATGGCAGCAGAGACTGTTCAGTGAAATCAGAAATACATCATTGACAAGCCAGAGAAAAATATATTTCAAAAACTTAGAATAAGTACATACAGTACATATCCATAACTACAAGTATTTACAATGCCAACATTTCGTGCTCAATAAAACATCAGACAGAGACATAGCATATCACAGTAATTTGAAGACAACTAAAATATTGCATTGTTGTTTTTTCTGCACAAATCCAACTGACTTTTTACTCATCTTTCTTCAGGGTATGACTATGCAGAAGAAGGCGGCTGAAGAACGACTCGCCAACACCGGTTCCGGTCAGTCCTTCTTGGCCCGACAGAGACAAGCCACCAGCACACGGCGCTCCTACCCTGGACACGTCCAGCCAGCTACTGCAAGGTAGACGGCAGCATGGCAGCAAAAAAAAAACTAGAGTGCAGCAGTCTACGGCAGATGTGCTTCCATTCAGGCACATCATTCCATGACATTTCTAATGGGAAATTCTGTTTTTTTCTGCCAATTGATTTCCTTCTTTCTTCTTCTTCTTGATCAGATCCACGAGGTAGAGGTGCCACACAAGACTGCCCAAATCTAGCACCACTTTTTTTTAAAGTACATATTAATCCAAGTCCTGTGATCCTGCCCTGCCAGGGCCCTCAGCATATTTGACAGGGTTTGACTGAATACTCCAAAAACACCAAAATACCTTCAGTTACTTCACTTTAGGCTTCCTCCTGTCATTTATGTTCTAACTCTGCTCTAACTCTTCATGCAGTGAATGACTCTTTCAGTGTAGCTCTTAATATGTCACATGACTCCATGGCTGTCAGTGTTCAGGGATGTTCTGATTTCAGCTCATTTCTTGGCTCTTGGCTCGTTTTTCCTTTATTATTATGATTGTTATTATTTCCACTTTAGTGTCAGCTGACAGCATGTCTTAATTGCAGCTAATTGTTTATACTACATTATACATTCTTCTAAATAATAAGGTCACAGTACAACGGCCAATCATGGTTAGAGAAAAAGAAAGGAAAGGGAAACACTTAAATATCCCTTGAATTTAGCGATGTGTTTTTGTTTTGTTTTCATCCACAATGCCTTGCTTAAGATGGAGTATTAGGGCCATGTTGAGGAAAAATAAATTAATGAAATTGCAAGATTACTCTGAGAAATTTATATATATATATACAACTACGAGAAAATAGTTGTAAAGAAAAGTCGTAATGTTACAAGAATAAACTCATACATTTATAAGACACTTGGACACCACACATGGGATGACATGTTTATGCTAATAATACAACTCATGCTCTCATAAGTCTACGACTTTTTCTCATAAAATTGTTGGTGAAATGAAGTCGAAACATTTCAAGGAAAAAAATCACAACTTTTTTTTCCAATGTTATGCTAAATGTTTTGCCTTTATTCTAACAAATGTATGACTTTAATGTTGAAATTTAGTTTTTTGTTTTATTCTCAATGTGGCCTTAATACTCTGTTGTACTTCTTTACTGTGGGTGATAAGTGCATCAGCAAACTACACTCATACTAGGACTTTCCTACAACGATTACTACTAAAAATATTACTATTTTTTTTCCTCCTTCTTTGTCCAAACAGTTGAGAAAATAATCCATTTATAGCTAACATGCCTTTATTGCGTGCCATTTGTTTTCAGAGGCCACAGACAGTAATTTCTCCATCAAAGTATTTTCTTTGTTATTTAAGGAGCCACAGTTGAACCAGCATTGACCTGCTGGTCTCCAGACAACAACCTGTGTCAGTGTTCAGTTCAGATCAGTGTGTGTGTGTGCGCGTTCCAATGCAGTGACGTAACATTTTCAAACATTCATAGTGAAATGTTGGAGGAGAGAATCATTGAAGAAATTTATTTTCCAAAATCTTTTGTTACCTGAAGGTACAATATGCGGGAAATGTGGGCCAGTGTGGGTAAACACACAGCATGTAGTGTACTACCGCTTTCCACCAGGGGGAGCTATGCACAAGCCTTTCAGTAAGGAGAGTTCCCAAAGAACAAAGCCAAAAGTAACAATTTAGTGTTAGTGATTAACTGCAATATATTTGTTGTTTTCCAGATATAAAAAAATACAAATAACAACAATTAACAAAATATTTCTAATGTTTCTTACTATGACACCTTTTTTCTTGATATATATATATATATATTTAGAAATGTCTGCAACCACATTTTGGAATTATTATTTGGAATAAAAGGACTAATACAGCAAGCTAAGAAAAAACATTACGTAAATAGTAAAATCCATTGATTTCTGATGTCATCAATGAGACACAAGGAGGCGCTCAAATTCTGTATATACAGTGGCAAAACAAATGCCAGTATAATGGAACCAGGTGGTTTCACACCAAAAAAAAAAAAGAATGATTAAAATCACCACAAATATTGAAGTAAACAGCTTGATCAAAATTGCCTACATGTAATTCCTGCATACTTTACCTTCAGGTGAGGTGAGAACCTGGATGTTTATCTTTTTTTTTTTTCTCCGACTGTTGTGAAGATAATGACGGCTCCTCGTTCACCTTCTTCGTTAAGTTCCATCTGAGACTAACAGACTCTGTCATCTCTCTCTCTCCTCCTCTAACAGCAACGTCCATGCATGACGGTCACAGCAGTGAACCTGGCAGAGCCCGGTGTTTGGCCGATGCACTCCATGCATGAACCGCCTGCTGTTTGCATGACTTTGCATTGACCAGAGCCATCACTCGTGCATGAGCACTAACATCACTCTGCAGTGTCTGCATGGTGACTTACGACCCCCGAGGACAGACGCTGGGGAGGAAATGGACAAAATACCCCCCCCTCCCATTTTAACTTCTTTCCCATCATCCAACTCTGGTTAACACATATTTTCCCTTTGTTTCCATTCATTTCCTGACTTTCTTCCCACACTTCTGCTTGTGCTTCCACACTGCGCTGTCTGTCTGTTACTGTTATCATCACTGCGTCGTCTGTCTGTTACTGTTATCGTTACTGCGTCGTCTGTCTGTTACTGTCCGCTCCTCTCTAACCGTCTGTTACAAACAGCATGTGTCTGACAGGCTGCTTCACGATACTTCAATGATGTAGTTTCTCCAAATGTCCTGAAGTACAGAGAAACATTTTAGAGGAGCTCTCTTCAGATCAGTCTAGGTCACTAAAAAGGAGCCAGCTCCCCCTGCTGTTTCAAGTGTGTATTTTCTTTAGGTTTTTTTTCTAGCTGCTCTCATCAAATGTCAAAAGTTAGAGGAAAAAAAAGAGCTTCAACCACAAGTATTAGAGAGTACAAGTCCTGGACTTAAGCAGAGCTTACGGGGCATTAGGGTATTGCCCTTTAGGCTTTTGGACACTTTGCAGTAGGGACATAGGATGGAAACGTGTACAGTACGCTTTTTTAATGAATAACTATGTTACATTTGTTAAAGGACAGAAAAGCCCTCGTTAAACCCACTGTAAATGTTTTTCTTGTTTGTGATATGACGTCAGTGTAGGAAACGTGGCTTGACATGTGTTCTGTATATTTGACAGTGTTACTGAGTACTGTGTTGTTACTTAGCTATGTAGTATCAGCATGGATATTTATGCCGCATTTATTGCTGCGTACTTTAGAGTTTGACGCTAATGTAAAAATAATGTCTTATAAGTGAAATCGAACAGACACACGTGGTAGGCCAGCCACTGTCATCGTCAGAATACAGTACAAATATAAATATATCATTTCATTCTGTTAATAATCATCTGTAAATATATTACGCATTTTGTAAATTTTCGATAGATTCCGAGAAAAACAATGAACAACAATAATTCTTAGACTTCCTTTTTCAACATTCACTCAATTTGTGTAATATCTGTGATTGCAAATTTGCAATTAAGCCAAGAAAGTAAGGAAGACGGGAACTCTAAAGTCAGAATCCAAAATTTGAGTGTAATAGAAATGTGAAAAATGTGAAAATTAGAACTTTAATAAAATGTAAAATATAATGTGCAAAATTATTAGAAAAGGAATGTTTCACATTTCTAAGACTCAAGATTATAATTAAGATAAATAATAATTGAAATCCATTTTTCATCACAAACTTCAAGTTTAGACTACAGTAGAATATTGTATTTATTTTCCAAATTTACATTCATCATTTTCACATTCCCTGATTTCTGATCAGCTTTCAGTTTTAATCTCACAGTTTTCAGAACATGTTTATATTTGATTTTTTTTTTTCATTTTGGAGCCCTCCAATTGATTCGTTATTTTATTTTTATTTTCATTAGAAACAAAACAAATTTTTGCTGACTTTTCTTCAAGTTTGATGCATAAATTCAGGGCTCATCACCTATGGAAAAATACAAGAAATCCATTAAACATAACGAGTATGGTGTTAAAGTACAACTCAGTTAAATATACTGTATTTTGATGAGGTTTTTGTATAAGGTCGTGGTCATATTTACGTTTTTTTATTCTGAGGTTCAGTCGACAAAAGGGAGACCAAGACCTTGTGAATTTACACATTGTGGGCATACGTGCATATGTTTGTACAGTAAATGTAATAGGAAAGTGTTTCACGTTACGATGGAGTGCCTTTGTTTTTAAAACAAATCTGCTCTTTTAATGATCCCAGGTCTTTTTTTTAACAGATAAATGTGTTATTTAACAAAGAAAAACATCTGCAGTGAGCTGAGCCCACTTTTTAGTGAGTTCATCAATTGAACAAAGTTGGTTTAATGAGGGCTTTCTCTGCTTTTCAACCAGTTTTTACTCATAAGTGTTCATGACTGTTACCTTTAATCTCTGCGTCCTTTTTTATGATGATTATTTCATTGCTTATTGCTTTGTTATTCTTGCTGCTGCGTTGACAGCAGGGTTGTTAAATGTGTTTATATTAGTATTATTGTTGTTGTTGCATATCGCCTCTTAATACTGTTAGGATTTTTAAAAAAATACAAATTTGTTTTATGCAAAGGAACACCAGGGGGCGATAGAGGGTCTGTTTAGGGAAAAAAACAGGAGAAACAAATGCATTTTATTTTCTCATTTTCCTCTAATTTTAAAGAAAAAAGATTTCATCAACAATTTCTCTGGTTGAAAAGAAACCTAAAAAAGCACATTAACATGTTAAGTTACACAGTTTTGTGTTTACAGTGTTTTAAACATCAGCAGCAAAGTCCAGAGCCTTGAGTTTTGCAGGATGTTTTGGCAGTGTTGTTGGCGCATGTGCATTAAGTCACAGAAGTATTTTTTTCAATAAATGAAACATAGATTTTTTTTTGGTCAGGATATGTTTTTCAGTACAGTCAGTTTGGAAGTGCGATGTGGTGTTTAGGATGTAAAACCATTTGCCATTAACGTTAGCAGCTTGGCCTGCGACTGCTCTGCACCGTTCATCCTCACCTGCCATTGGTTCTGTGTAGTCTGTGTATACAGTAATGGTGGACATCTGCAGTGGTGTGGACTGTGGTTGATTTATCAGGGACGATGACAACTGTTTTGGGTCGTTTATATCCTCTTGAAGTGATATCATCTGTTTTTACCATTGTCCACAAATTAACCATGTCTCATTTGACTCTGGGTAATGTTTGTTATTATAACCCCCATCATTTTTCCCCCATAGTTTTTGTCATGTACAGAGGAGGATTAGGGAATCTCTTAAAATTCAGAGGATCTGTCAATCCTGAGGTCTGAGAAGAAGTAAACGTTGTTTCTAGGTGACAAGTTAGCTTCTAAAAAAAAAGAGAGAGAGAGAAAAGAAAGGTCTTGGTTTTCTAGAACTTTTTCCTCTACCCTTAATCAATTAATTAAAATTTCTCAATTTTAGGAATAAATCCAATAATTTATTTTTCATATTTATGAATAAATCCTTTCTCAGTTCTCCCAAAATTAAAGTTCGGAATCTAAGGAAAACATAATTCTGACTCAGGATTTTGACGTTCACTGGATTAGTCAATTCAGTGATCAGTTGAGACATTTTTAGAAAAGTCAGAAGTCTGTTTTTTCTTAGCGTTCAGGTTTTCTCAGATAATAATTCTGTAAGGTCTTTGATTGCTGAACTTTGACCTTGTTCCAAAAATTTGGACCAGGCCCTCAGTTTTTAGCAGAAAAGATAAAACCTACCTGTCATAATTCTGACTTCATTGTTAAAAAACTGAAGAAGTCAGAATTATAGAATTTTTCTGAGATTAAAGTCTGAATTTTGTGATCAAAGTTTTCAATATGTGAATATTTTATTTTCTGTAATCTCAAATTATCTGAGAGGAAAATGTCTCAACTTTGACGTTATGTCTAAAATTTCGGAGTAAAGCTCATGTTGGAATCGAGAAAAAAAAAGTTTTTCAATTCATGCTGCCAAATTCTTTACTTAACAGATGAACAGATTTGGTCTTAAATTATTCAGACTATCATTTAAACCCAGTATTAACCTGAAACCACATGAAATCAGGGGGTAGTTAAATTGTTTTGATGTTTATGGTTTTATTTTTATTTTAACTCTTTGGTAAAACAGCTTTCTATTTACTCACAGAATAAAAAAAAACTAACCTTACATTTGCCAACTTTTATATTGCTCTTATACAGACATACTTTGTACATACTCTATGTGACGGTGGTGAAGGAAGTGTGTACTGTTGAGGATAAGAGAAAATGACCCGTGTACAGGTCGGTCGGGTCAAATCACTCCAATACTGACCTCTTGATGTGCTTCCTTTTACTGCAAAACGTGGAAATGACATTGTAAATAAAGCTTGTATAAAACAGAACGGCAGTTATTTTCTTTTTCTGTGACAAAAAATACAAGATATTTTCATGGAAATTATACTAAATAAATACATGTGAAATGTTACGTAACTTAACGAATTTCTGATTTAACCTCAATGTCCTAAAAACTAAATATGTTTATATTCGACGCTAATTCAACATACGGGCTCTTTGGACCGTGCTTGGGGTTTGTTCAGTACCCAGCTTCGTCCAGAGACCTTGCGGTTGCGGTTGTTGATGGAATAACGGAGCAGTACCAGTAGAAATTGTGGGGGCGGTGTTATGGCTCACCTGCGGGCAGTAATAGGTATAACAGGAAGAAGAAGACAACGACCAATCAACAACAGTAATGGTGGAACCGGAAGACTTTGAATCCGCACAGAACAACGACGTCTACTGGTCTGTTTCTTTATGGAACTTTCTTTGTGGTCGATACTGTTGTCAAGGAAAATGACGTTTGGCCGGAAATCAACTCTGGACTTAACGCTTCCTCCGCGTGGAAATTTGTCAACAACAACCATGCCAAAGTTTTGGAACTATTGAAATGGCGGCACCTATTAATGCAGTGATTTCCAACCACACTTAATTGGTATGAAACTATTATTTATTTATTTACAGTAATGTGTCTTTGTTCGTCAATGCATAGTGACACGCAGAACAATTAAATGCTATTCCACTAGATGGCAGCAGATGGCTATAAAACTAACAAAAGAGACTCAAAAGAACTGTTGAAGATGATCTTTGCGTTTTTCTTTATTTCCTGCGAGTATATCAGCGTTGTCTTCAACTAAACAGGCCGACATTCCAAACTGAGTTAGTAAATTGTGAGTAAATTTAAACTGAAAGATTATTATATTTCATTACATATACATTTTGTGACATTTGTAAGAGTTTTTTTCCAAATTGAAAATATGTGCAAATGCTCAAAAAACCTGGGAAACACTATTAATGTTAGCATGGTGGACTATCACTGTAGTTACACCAGGGTTTATTATTTGTATTCAAACAATTTTTGCTACTCAACAAAGAAAATTGAGTTTTTGTTCTGGTCATTTTTTTTTTTTTGAGTGATGAAGATGTGATGAGCAGCTAAGCTGGATACATCATGGATGTTGTATAATGGATGAACATGAGCTTAAGTTTCCTGATTATTTATCTTGGTTATCTCGGAGGTGACAACATTTCTAAAAAGAGATGTGTTTTCATAGGAAATGATGTCATGAATATCATTCTCAGTATCAGAGAGTGGGTGGTCTTGGAGGAGAAGTTATCTTCACATGGAATTGTTTTCTTATATTTCCTTGTGGCTGTAACTCAATTACTTATGTTTTCATAACTTTTTTTAGACCGATGTTTTAAATTTATGATTTGTGGATTAATGTTCACATCAGACAGCCATGAAATTTTTGTCGATTACAAGTTTAAAAACTGATGTCTGCTGGCCAGTCACAGTAGTGGTGTCTTCAGTGATTCCCAACATTAAGCCCAGAAATGTGTGATTCATTTTATTTAATATTTAACTATTACCTTTTATTTAATTATACCTGTTTTAAATTGGGGCAGCACGGTGGAAGACGTGCTTAGTGCGTTCGCCTTACAGCAGGAAGATCACAGGTGTGCCAGTCCAATCTCCAGTCATTGTAGTATTTGGGTTTTCTCCAGGTACTCCAGTTAGTTAAGTTCAAAATTAGGTCAATTATTAACTCTCCATTGACCTTGGATGTGAATGTGAGTGTGAATGGTCGTCTGTCACTGTCCAGGATGTCACCCCACCCTCCTCAGATGCCCTGGTGGGCTGACTGTGGCCCGGGGCCTTCAGTTTGACTTTTTCATGGTCTCTCAAACTGTGTTTTTTTTTCCAACATGTAAATTATTCAGACAATTTCACAGACAATCGAAACAAACACAAGTCAAAATTGACAGCACGTGTGAAAACAAACAGATTACTCTGAGGTATGGAAAGTGATTCTAACAGGCCGGACCATCTGACCATCGGCCTTTCACTTAGACCCATCCTGCTGCATATGAGCAGGTAACCAGAGCTGCGTGTTGTTATTGACTCTGGACCTGTGCCGTGACATGTCAGGAAGGAGGAAGCAGCCAGAGGCTAAGGTTAGAGAGAAGTCAGGAAATAGAGAAGCTCCCAGGAACGAAGAACCAGACACTGGTACTGGGAACGTTCCTGTGTCCGCAGCCTGGAGGGACCAGATGGGCTCATGTCATTTCACTAGAGCTGACCAGTCTGGGCCTGTGTGTGAATCTGCAGATTCTTCACTCCATTTATTCTATTCCTACAGCTTAATCCTTTGCAGGGTAATGGTGGTTGTGGTGGTGGTGGAGGGAGGGGGCGGGGTCAAACCCAGCAGTCAACAGGTGAGGGCAGGGTTACAGCAGTGAAGTTTTAACTGAAGACACGAAGTGTAACCGTTTTTAAATTATATTTCGTCGTTAATGGGGGGACCACTGCATCAACAGCACCTCTGATCTATCATTTTAAGACAAGATATACATAAATATATTGATACAAACATCATAGTTATATTCTATAATACATATGAAAATATATTACAGAGAGTCCTATGGAAACTTACATACTGTACATAAGTATCTATATCACTTACAAGTGCAGGCACTAGTAAGTGACATAAAAACATCTGAAAGGTCTGCCTCACACCTGGGAGCCATAATAAAGGGCAAAAAGTTCACAAAAAAACTGACTGTAGTACAATCCAATGTATGGCGTACAACTGGCAAATGTAAACAAAGCCGTCTTCTGTGTATAGTGCTGCGTGACGACGTATTCTTCTGCTCCACTCAACAACTAGTTCCTGTGCAAAATTTGTTTAAACGTCATATATCGGAATGATGGAAAAATACTTTCTTAATAAATTAATGGGAGATGCTGGTGTAACCATGAAACGACGTAGGTCGAGGACGTCATAAACCGAGGACCTGCATATCTTAAAAACTTGATGTATGGCCTAGGCCTGTACCAGTGTCTATAACAGTGTTTCCCAAACGTTTTTCCTGGAGACCTTTATTTTAAAAGTCACAAACCTTTGTGACCCAAGTCAATAGATATTATTTATAAACCCCTGGGAAACATGATGTGAGACGACCCAAAATAAATCTCTAGTGACCCACCTGAGGGTTGCGACCCAGTCTTTGGGAAACAATGGCCTATCACACGTTAAGCTGCTTCTTGGAGAAGCATCCAAGAGTGTTGACTGTGTTCCTGTCTAACTCTCATCTAAAAACCACTTTGTATGAAATACCTTTGCTTAAATTACATCTTTTGTTATTTTTGCCCCTCTGTCGTCTTTAGACCCTCTCCGGATATTTCCCCCACCTATTAGGTTTTTTTTCTTCATTTAATCATCTTTACCTCGACTCGACAGAAATGGAAGAATCAGAAGCGAAGTCGGGAAATTACAGGTCAAGAAATGTCATGGAGATAATAACATCACACGGCAGGCAGATGGCCACTGCTGGACTTTATGAACAGGCTGCAGCAGTGATTCCACTCCTGTGGTCCAGCCACAACCTGTTATTTGAAACACGACCTCATGGTGTCACCGTATCGTTATTACTCCATTATGGTCACACAAACACACTGGTGCTCGGAACACATATTCTTCATGATGATTAAACAATACAACAGTGTTGAAGAAATCACTGTAGTTTTCTTTTTACCTGTGAATGGTTTGGGATAAAAGCTTGTCTGACTTTTTGTACAATTACCCAGAATCCTGCTGTGATGTTAAAATAAATAAAAAGTCTGACACATGTAACGGCAGCGGCAGCTAAACACCGTGAACGTAGAAAAGTTGTCCAGAGGAGCTGAATTAGAGAAGAGCGAAGAACATTGTTTTCAATATCCAAAGAAAATGTTGCCATTGATCCCAGATGTTATTTTTCGCCATGTTTCCCAATATTGAAGTAATTACAGAAACATTCCAGCAGGAGTAAAATCAGAACCAGGGCCGCCTGTCATTTTCCTTGTTATTATTTCTCCATAAGTTAGCCGCCGGCCGACAATACCACCTCTATGATGCTTTCCATTTCCATTTCAATCACGCTGCTGAGGAGACGGGCGGCGGCTTGATATCACAAGGCTCTCATTGATGTACACGCTCCTCAGCTCTGGGACGCACACACAATCAGAAACACACACACACATATTGAGGAGTGTTTCCACAGCGATGGCTTAAAGCCAGATTCATAGCTTATTGAGGATTTTTAAATGTGCAGATACAGGACAGACACACACACTCCGTCACTTCAGCCTCTCTGCACTGACATTATCATTCCTGGCCCCACTTGACTCAGATTCAGGTGAGGCCGGAGGAAAGTGAAACCTCATGGCGAGCTGCTGACACAGTCAGAGTCCAAGAACAGCCAAAGTGGCTCTTTAGATTCTACTGCCCCCTGTGGAAGGCGCAGAGGCTAGAAGGAGGGATGTGGTGTAACTGAGAGACAATCTCTAAAACACTGCAGTATAACATCAGCCTCATCGTGAATGAATTAAAGGATATACAGCAGGGCATCGCTTTACCACATCTTTGACCTATAGCATTTCGTGGTTATACATAAAGAAAGTCTTGTCCCATCATTCCAATGATTGCTGAACACAGTTTTTATGGGAACTAGTTAGTTACAATCGCCAGTTGTAGGCCATACATTAGATCGTGCTAAGCTTTCTTCTGGTTTTTTTTGTTTTTTTAGGAATGTTTTGCCCTTGGCTTCCGGGTGTATGTCAGACTCTTCTGATGTTTTCATGTCCTAGATTATGATGTTACCACTGTGCTAGCGTAGGGGAGTGACACAGGTACTTACGTCCAACTTACAGTGAAAATCAAGTCACATTGCACCGTAGGATCGGATGTAAGTGTTGGCCCCTCGGCTCACATGCTCCTAGTAGTAATATATACATATATTTACATTCACATCATGTCACACCTGGGAATATGAAAACAATAAAATAAGTGAGACATCTCCGATG